GGAGGAGCTAGTCTAGGCCCAGTGTAGTGGGAGCTACAGAGCCCAGTCTTCCAACACAATCTGACTCGGGGGCTTGGTTGCCCACCCCACGAGCCTGAGAAGTCATAAGAGGATCAGTATTCAGCGACATGAAAACGAGAGGTAATACTTTCATTCACAAATGTGCCCCCTCACCCACCACGGAGCCTCAATTAAGAGGATAAGACCCCTAACAAGAGACATGTTGCCAGTCTTACCGGGGCCCCCTAGGGGTGCATCGTGAGTATTCGCCCCACAATCACCACCTTAAGAACCGTCAGTCCATCGAAATCGGGTTCAGCGGCGAAAGAAGGATTGATAATAAAAGCGTCCCCCTCACTCGAGACGTTGGGTACTACAGTTCTACGGGTGAGAATATGCCTCCCCAAACACCCGAGCATCAAAACAGAAGTAGTCCGAAAGAATAATCAAGACTGGCAAAAGGTCGGCGGGATATGACAATTAGAAAGGGGAAGAGGGGGGGAAAAATGAAACACAAGGAAAAGGAAAAAACATCTGGTAAAATTGGTAAAGACAGCAGAAGGAGCATAAGGCCTCAAAAGGACAGAGGACTGACCCATGGAGCATCACACTCCAGCAGCCGCCCACCTGCCCCTTGACGACGACAACAGGCCAGATAGGGAGGGGGAGAGGTGGAACATAACACACGTGCATAAAGACATGCCAGTGAAAGGGTTGAAACGGCAGAGTTGGCGTTTCGCTTCAGGAAAAGACAAACGATCCCGGTGTTTCAAGTTGAGGACGGCTTCCTCAAGCTTGTAGTGGATACAGGTGCGGGAGAAGGTAGGGTGGGCCTCACCGCAATTGAGGCAGCGAGCCTGAGGCGAAGAGCACTCTGTCTTAGTGACCTTCGTCCCCACATAATGGGGCATAGATACACACAGCACTTGTGCATTTGAGGGCACCATGCCCGAATTTCCAGCACTTATTGCAAAGACTAGGAGAGGGATTGTATGCCTGAACGGAGCATCAGGCACCAGCAAGAATTATAGAAGGCAGAAGGGTTCTGGTATCAAGTGATTTTCATAACGAAGGGGCTGATGGAGACGACCACGAGGGGGTTGAGTGAACGTGTCCATCCTGGTGTCCATCATCCTAGAGGACAGGATGGCCTTGGGTTTTGAGGATATGCTTAATATCCTCGTGGCAGTCTTTTAGGTCCCTAACACCAGTTGCAACATGGTGCAGGAGAACAGTGCCAACAATGGCATTTAACCGAGCATTTTTAGGCCCCGAACAGGGGTCTTCCTAATGCAGGACAATGCGGCTAAGTGGATAGCTGCATCCTGAGGAGCAGCAGCGACGACACGCGTACCGAGACGGGTGGGGTTAAAAATAACGGAGGCATCTACCGAATCAACAAGGTGTTTATGGAGGGAAAAATCGTCAGGTGTAGAATCCAGAGGGAGATCAATTTACCCCACATTGCAGAACCAAACAAGGCGTGGTACATATTTGTGTAGGAAGGGAACGTGCGAGAGCGGCCATGGTGGGGTCGGTGTAGAGAACCTCCATAGAGAGAGGTGGGGGAAGTCACAATGAGAGATGGAGCCGTGCCATTGGTCGATGTAGTCACCACCAGGGGCTCGACCCTACCACATAGTAGGGAGGGGAGTTGGGGGGGGGGGGGGGTTGATCTGGTCTGGGCCCAATGTAGCGTGGGCTACAGAGCCTGGTCTTCCATCACAGTCTTGACTCGGGCCTGGTCGTCCACGTAAGAGAGGTCGTTTCAGTTTCCATGCCGCAACTGTTCAAAGTCTGGGGCCTGGAACCAAGGGACACCACCTACCAGGGTAGCCAGGGAGGCCCAGCACGGGCCAGTGCACAAGGGGGTGCGTCATTCCCTGCGGTGCTCGCCTTTTTAACAAGGAGTGACCTACTACTTCGTCTATTGCCGCAGCCACCCACTTAGGACAGCCCCTCACGGGCGACCCCTATAGCGGATGGTCCAATGATTAACAAGGACTTTACATGGTGCCCTTCTGCACTTACAACACCCAGAGGGGGCGAAGGCAACCCTCACCGGTTCCAGGGAGGTGTATGTGAGCCCCTCACTATGACAAGGTGACATCACGGACGGGACTCCCCAGCAAGCATTAGAAATATTGCTGGAACAAATGTGGATGTATTCTCGAAGCACTGAGAATAGTTCTTGCAAGTGCTGGACCAACCAGGCTGTTATAGATGTGTAGGCCTGCGGGTCGCTCCAAGGAACATCCTATTGGAGCAAGTTATAACAAATTGAGCCTGGCCTCAGGGAGTAGAACTCCCAGAATCCTCTCGTTATTCAGGTAAGGTGGATGGTGGTGATGAATGTCAAAGTAAGGAAAGTGGTGATGAATAGCTCAACAAGTCCACTACGGCTCACCATACCCTTGCTACTTGGAACTTTTGTTCAGAGTAGCTGAAACTAAAACAACTCAACAAGGTGGGTGATATTGTGATGAATCTGAACAAGGTGGTGGTGGTGTGGTGAACATCTGAACAAGGTGGTGGTGGTGTGGTGAACATCTGAACAAGGTGGTGGTGGTGTGGTGAACATCTGAACAAGGTGGTGGTGGTGTGGTGAACATCTGAACAAGGTGGTGGTGGTGTGGTGAACATCTGAACAAGGTGGTGGTAGTGTGGTGAACATCTGAACAAGGTGGTGGTGGTGTGGTGAACATCTGAACAAGGTGGTGGTGGTGTGGTGAACATCTGAACAAGGTGGTGGTGGTGTGAACATCTGAACAAGGTGGGTGGTGGTGTGAACATCTGAACAAGGTGGTGGTGGTGGTGTGAACATCTGAACAAGGTGGGTGGTGGTGTGAACATCTGAACAAGGTGGTGGTGGTGGTGTGAACATCTGAACAAGGTGGTGGTGGTGGTGTGAACATCTGAACAAGGTGGGTGGTGGTGGTGGTGTGGTGAACATCTGAACAAGGTGGGTGGTGGTGGTGGTGTGGTGAACATCTGAACAAGGTGGTGGTGGTGGTGTGAACATCTGAACAAGGTGGGTGGTGGTGGTGTGAACATCTGAACAAGGTGGGTGGTGGTGTGATGAATCACTCAACATGGTGGGTGGTGGTGTGATGAATCACTCAACATGGTGGGTGGTGGTGTGATGAATCACTCAACATGGAGGGTGGTGGTGTGATGAATCACTTAACATGGTGGGTGGTGGTGTGATGAATCACTCAACATGGAGGGTGGTGGTGTGATGAATCACTCAACATGGTGGGTGGTGGTGTGATGAATCACTCAACATGGTGGGTGGTGGTGTGATGAATCACTCAACATGGTGGGTGGTGGTGTGATGAATCACTCAACATGGAGGGTGGTGGTGTGATGAATCACTCAACATGGTGGGTGGTGGTATGATGAATCACTCAACATGGTGGGTGGTGGTGTGATGAATCACTCAACATGGTGGGTGGTGGTGTGATGAATCACTCAACATGGTGGGTGGTGTGATGAATCACTCAACATGGTGGGTGGTGGTGTGATGAATCACTCAACATGGTGGGTGGTGGTGTGATGAATCACTCAACATGGTGGGTGGTGGTGTGATGAATCACTCAACATGGTGGGTGGTGGTGTGATGAATCACTCAACATGGTGGGTGGTGGTGTGATGAATCACTCAACATGGTGGGTGGTGGTGTGATGAATCACTCAACATGGTGGGGGGTGGTGTGATGAATCACTCAACATGGAGGGTGGTGGTGTGATGAATCACTCAACATGGTGGGTGGTGGTGTGATGAATCACTCAACATGGTGGGTGGTGGTGTGATGAATCACTCAACAAGGTGGTGGTGGTGTGATGAATCACTCAACATGGAGGGTGGTGGTGTGATGAATCACTCAACATGGTGGGTGGTGGTGTGATGAATCACTCAACATGGAGGGTGGTGGTGTGATGAATCACTCAACATGGAGGGTGGTGGTGTGATGAATCACTCAACATGGAGGGT